ACAAAAATGCTCCGGACACAACTTTTGTCACATTTATAGACCATGCAAGTGAAAAAATAAGTGCCAACCGGGTCTATATGACCAGTACAATGTTCTTTTCTGTGTAAGGGAATGGTGTTTTGTACATCTACTGGTTCTCGGATCGCATATTTGTCTGCATTACACGTAGTTCCGAAAACACTTGGCAATGCGTTTGTGACAAACTGAGAACAGGCATGTTGGTGAATGGAATTATGTGTCATCAGCTCCACAAACGCTATAAGAAGGTGGTTACACATGTCACCCTCGTCCATCTAGCCTCTCCGCTACTGACAACATGCGTCATGGGCCTTGGACGGACTCATATGGCCTTGCATATCCTAAGGTATCCTGTTGTGACCCCACTATGCATAAGAATGATATCACAGCATGTTTTCAGTGGAGTAGTCAGATTCTGTGTTCAAAATAACCTATTACAACTGCCTTTTTTGAGCCCGGCAGGTATTTTGCACAATGCACCGATAGAAGTAGGTCTTGACCTGGGCTAAGGTCATGTGCTCCGTGGTCATTTTTTTGTGCATATGAGCTAGTACTGCTTTCCTCATATGCGATACACAATACATAAAAATACGTACAAATTTACATAATTTACCAAAAATGCAAACATTTACCTAACATCGGCTCACTGGTTTCACCTTTTCCGAAAAGTCTCAAAGATGCAGACTACAGGTACTGTCTTTTTCTATTGTTACAGAAAGTTTGAGCGATGCTAAATGACTCGCAAAAAAGCTATGCGTGGTCAATTTCTTTAGAACACGATCTCTTTAACCTGACCTAGGTAATTGGTCTTGATAGATGACGGCTTCAAATCCGCGAAAAAGATGCCAAATTAATAAATGAACGGGTTACGGAACAGAACAAAACGGATTCCAGAAGTTGCAATCTTGTGTGACTGCGAACGTTCGCTTTTCACCCGTGTTCGAAAAAGCCTGATGCAGGAAGTCAACTTCGCCCGGCCGGTTGCGAATTAAGTGCTGTCCCCATTGGTCTTGGGTTTCCTGTTTTATCGGAAGGCCTTTGTTGTTGACATTGCTCTACATGCTTATCGACTGGGGCGCTCGTTACGACTCCGGGACCCTCCACATTGGTCCTGAGCTCTTTTCGTGACGTCGGACGGGCCTTAACCCGTTGCTAAAAGCCCCACATATGATTGCGAGCATTAGCACAGCGTGCGTTGTTCATGGCCTTCGCCAGCTCGCGTTCATTGGCCTGGCTAAATTTGTTCGCGTGCAAGTCCGAGGCCTCCCCGACGATGGCTTTCCTTGGTGCATAAGCCGCAGGTAGCAATGCACGCAATTGCTAGTGAAATGTTACCCTCCGCCGACGTAGCACATTTCGCCTCTCTTTCTTTTGTTGCTGAATACGCGACATTCATACTAGTGCACTACACTGTTAACGCGGTATAAATGCCAGTATGTGTATTACTCCTTCGTGATAGGGAGACACAAGCTCTGTATAAATATTTTGCCTACAGCTGATCGCAACATAGAGTGGCCGGCTAGCTGCCGGAAACCGGCCAGCCGCAACCAGCCTAGAGACTGAGTGTCGTGCTTGATTTTGATTACATTTAGCAGCCAACTTTAATTCACTTGGCTGTATAGTTTCGGAAAGACTTGACCTCAAAATGGTAGGATCCAGCATGATCAGGAGAAACTGATCGCGCTTCATGCATGCACTTTCCCACCACGCCTAGTTTTGTAGTGCTGCTCGCCGATTGGTGTTGTCCCGTATCACATATTGCACAGGTCGATAGTGTTACGCATACAAAAATAACAAAGATGGGAATTTTGAAATTTAATGACCGAAATCCGAGGATTTTTGAGAGATCTAAAACTTCAGGGGGTGGGGCACACTGTTGTGTGATCATCCCCTTAACGGAATGCTACATCCACCACTGGCTAAGTCTGGTGTCTAAAAAGGCTACCGAATTCCCCAGTGTTCTATTCATGTATTCCCTCTATTATATTCGTCATCTATTCCCCTATGCTTGAACATGGAGTGATTTTTAACCTTTATGGGATTGGTTTCTATACGGGTGTTCTGTTATGAACAGAAAGGAGCAATATGACCATGACGGAATATTATAACTAATTCATGCCTGCGTTCGACGTCAGGAGTTTGCAGTCACAGTTGCCAGAAAGACCCCGGTTATTGAAAATTCAAGTACACTTAACGCATGCAAGACGGACTAGCGCATCACTTAAGCGTCCACTTCAGTCTCGTTGGGCATTAACGGAGCACAGGCGGACAATTCTTGCGTGGGGTATGTGTGCATATGGTTTGGATGAGCGGGTGGTCGTAGACTAAACAAATGGCCCCTGCTGAATGTTCTTCCAGACGACCAGTGGTTTGCCGCAGGACCTTACGCTGCCTTGGCGTGAATTGATATTTTATTCTTATTAGGTTAACGTGGGTTGGTTTTGTGACAAGACACATGAGATTCATCTGAGAAATACCATTTGATCTCACGTGACAGCTGTGGTCCGTGTATGGCTTGTTAAATGTTTGAGGTGAAATGTGACGGCTGTTAGAGATTGCTCCAATCCGAAGATTTTACATCTTGCGCCCCTGGTTTCACGTAGTTTTAGTTTCAATTCCAGGGCACGAATAAAAACTCCAGCACGTAGAAATCAGTCTCGTTTAGCGTGGGCCAAGCGCGTGGACGTGGGCTGTGTGCTACCGGTGGTGCAGGGAATTTCCCGCGACAGGTGACACCGTTTGAATGAAACCGAGATGGGAGTGCTTGGGCCGGCCTTTGAGTGTCAGCCCGCGTCAGCTAATGGGTCTGGGGAAATGGAAAGGATCCGGGGCATGCCACTGAACGGTTAGCGATCGATGGCTCGATGCCCTGACCAGCCCGCCTGATTTCGCGTTAAGGGGGCGATGGTGTCCTGATGCGAACGTATGAGGTGCGAGGCATAAGCTTGTGCGGCCGGCACCGCTTGTACGATCTCGTACCGCACCGGTACGATGCACGAGCGTGTCTGGGCGAAGAATGCGACAGAGGGCGATGTGCAGACTGCTCCCACACGAGTGCAAGGAACAAAAATCAGGTAGACGGTTGCTGCGCCGATATTTCAAGTGACAGTCCACTCGCTTGGCAGATGTTAGCGACCTGTCAGTGATGACAAAATCATACAATCGAAAGCGCCGTGCTTCTCATCGTGATCAGTCTTTTGCCGCATTGCGCTGTTGTTGCGAATCTATGCCTCCTGGTTTTCAGACGACGGTGCTAGTGACTGGCGGCTAAGCTTCTCATGTGACGCGTTATACAGAGACGTTTCTCGTGTGACGCCCTGTACAGAGACGCCGGCACGCGTGTTTGATAGGCTGATGGATAACAGTCGCTCGAGTAGGACCCTCAGTCTTCTTGGACCACTCAGAGTTGCTGAAATGGGTTCGTCTGAGTACGCTTGTCCGAGTTCGGACCCAGTGCGAACAGTGGAAGCTCTGATTGTTTACACTTTTCGCACAACTTCAGAATTTTAACCGCCTCGGCCAACCGTGCCTCTGGCGCTAACCAATACGCATCAAGAGTTGTACAACTACGTTGCGTGCTGACGTTGCCACTCTTTCAGACTGTTGTGAGCAGAAGTTGCAATGGCAATTTCACTCAAGAAGTACATCCTGAAAAAACTTGGTCTGCTCCGCTCCCTATCGGCCGACCAAAGAAATGGGAACCAAGTCATCCAGCAAAACAACGTGTACAATCAACCCGCGGCAATAAGCGCTGGCGTTCCCCAGGACAATGTGTTACCCTCGGACCCGCAAGTCGACACGCACCAATCAAAGCACACCGAGCCGCCTGGTGCGCCGTCCCGGTCACCGGACAGCCCTCTGACGCCGACCCGGCGCAACCAAGCTTTCAACTCGCCCCGCCAGGCCTCACGGCGCTTCTTCCACGGCATGCTGGATCACAGTCGCGTGAGCCCAGCGCGCCCCCGGCCGCCGCAGGAGCCGTCTGTCCGCGACGCCGGCCACCTGAAGGTAGTGCGCAACCGCCGACTGATGAAGGAGTACCGCGAAATCACGCGCAGCGTGGCGCGGCAGGCCGAGCCACCCTTTACTGTGGAGCTGGTCAACGACTGCCTCTACGAGTGGAACATCCACCTGTTTAACATCGATCGCACCAGTGACTTGTACCGCGACATGAAAGACTTGCACATCCGCTGCATTCAGCTCAACATGGCGTTTCCGGAGAACTTCCCGTTCTCGCCGCCGTTCCTGCGCGTGCTGGCGCCGCGAATTGAGCGCGGCTTCGTGATGGCCGGGGGCGCCATCTGCATGGAGTTGCTGACGCCACGGGGCTGGGCCAGCGCCTACACGGTCGAGGCTATCATCATGCAGTTCGCCGCCAGCCTCGTCAAAGGACAGGTAAGGCCATTAGGGCCATGCTGTGCCTGCAGGATTGGCTTGCCTTTCCCAGGTACGTTTTGAGCTTCTTGCACTGCTGATGGCTGCGCTACGTGCCGGCCAGGGGCTACGTGATTGAAACGCCGCATCGTAAGGCACGAGTGCCGGGGCCCGAGCAGGACGATCGCAACCCGCTCAATAACTGAAACTGAACAACGTGTGGTCGCACCACGGACTTGAATGATCCAATGCGTGTATGCATGCGCCGCCACCAGCACACACACACATACACATGCACGTGCACACGCACACCCGCACACAAACGCACACGCACCTTCATATGTTGCTACACGTTCGCAACTAGCGAGCGCCTAGAGCGCTGCCACGTGATTATCATGCATTCTTTCGTATGATGAAAGCGAAATGCCATACATTGTAATTGTAATGGGTGCGGTGTCATCTTGAGGAGTAAGATTCACCGATGCATATCAGCTTCAGGCTTGGCTCAGGCTGAGCCGTCATTCAGAGCATTTTCTGTCACCTGATGCCATGATAGCATTTAGCTGATACCATGATATGCTCAACTGGCACAGCATTTGAGTGCCTATCGGGAGGTTGTATTACCTGACATGCACTCACGCGTGCTTACTAATCTAGGGCAAGTGCCCGTCCGGTGTGACGCTGTTATGCGTCAGATAGCAGTAGGTGTTGATTAGATTAAATTTGGCCAAATATCTTAGTAGAACTAAAAGCTTGAATGATTTTAGTAGTTCTACTTAGTTATGAGTTCCACTAAGAATTTTGGAGGACTAAGTATCTCAATATATATATATATATATATATATATATATATATATATATATATATATATATATATATATGCATGTGCGTGTGCGTGTGCGTGTGCGTGTGCGTGTGCGTGTGCGTGTGTGTGTGTGTGTGTGGTGTGGTGTGTGTGTGTGTGTGTGTGTGTGGTGTGTGTGTGTGTGTGTGTGTGTGTGTGTGTGTGTGTGTGTGTGTGTGTGTGTGTGTGTGTACGCACACGCACACGTGTGCGTGTGTACGTGTGTGATATATTATATCACACACGTACACGATTATATACACGAGAACGTGTACGTGTGTACGTGTGTGATATATTTCATGTCTGGCGTTCGTGAGCACTAGTTCCAGATACAGCGGCCATCAGCTGACTTCCAATGAATGCTGTGCAAATTGTGCGGTCCAGAGCAGACTTTTCTATTCAAAGGCATGCGAATAGTTATATGTGAGCTTATTTCATCATATCCGATGCTTCCTTCAGTATTTTTAAATGTGTAACATTTCCATTAATAGCTCGTCGACGGCGACCGGGTAATCAGTCGGTTGTATTCAATCGGTAGCATTTTGACGTTACGAAAAGATAAAATTGTTAGACCTTAGCTAAAGGTGATGGACATTGGACGATACAAGTTTCCGGTAAAGGACAGTTGCACCGTATGTATCTTTGTTGCAACATGTCAAAATTAGCACGACAAAGGTGCTCCCAGGTTTCGAATGAAGGATACTATATAATGGATACTGAACAACACCGAGATGCAAAACTTTGCATTTTCCGCCCTTATTTACCTAGCCGCTTGATTTGTAGGTACAGTGACAAACACGTGTTCAGGCGGAGTACATGGGGGTGCAGAGGGACGCAGTATTCAAACAAAGGCCTGCACTTCCTGCTATGAATGGATCATGGAAGAAAATTAAGGATGTTTCAAGCAGGAGAAAGGGAAAATGCACAGTGATGATGATGATGATGAATGGTGAGCATGTTTTGGTGGCGTGCGGCTGGCGCTTCCCGGTTGGACTCTGAATGAATGGTCCACGGTTTTGTCACGCAAACACTGTCTGGAGGGGAGGCTAAATCGCGGAACAGTTTATTCTCATCATAATTTTATATTTTTCCGTGGGGTATACATAACTAGGGGTTGAACGTCATGCAGCGTTTATAGCGCATCGCGTATCGCGGTTGCCTGGCGTTTCATATCCGTGGGTTGCGGTCAGCTGCCATGACTACGCCTTGTACGAGAGATCTCCTGTGCCGTTGGTTTCGAACGATTGGTAGCATTTGAAATGTTCGACCTGCGATTATTTTATTATACACGTGTGTACAAGCCCTAAATTATAAAACACTGTTGACTGTAGCATCAAAAGGCCCAGATCATAGGGCTTTACTGTACCTTCCTTACTGGGCTTACATCATTGTGATAACAAGTGTAGGAGCTATTACAAATCAATATTGCAAATGTTTATTTAATCATACCTATAGACAAAGCGAGTTCTGCAAGCTGAGGTGTTCAACTCTGCCACTAGGTACAAAAGGCATAGACAAGCCTAAGGCTAGCTAACGGTAAGCCTGCCTTGGACAAGCGTGGTCATTGAATGCAATACATCACAAACGCCGCATGACGCATAACCCCGTGTTATATCATCATACTTGCAAAAATCGTACATTCTGATTAGACTAAACTATTCCAGGATTCACTGCTCATTCCAGAAATATATGCAAATAGCGAAATGACGAATAATTTCGTCTCAGTCCAAACGGGAACCGCCAGCCGCACGCCAGCAAAACATACATCTGTTATACCCGCTGCCTCTGTGATCCGTGGCCCCCGGCCGTTCACATCCACGGACGCAGCTCTCGAGGTCCGCATATCACCGTGTATAGCCAGTCGTGCCACGAGCAACTTGTTTTGTTTTGACTTGTCAACATCTTGTTTTGTAAGAGCAACTGTACATATTGAGCATGGAATAGCTTCCGAACGATACGGGCTTATGAAAAGCCTGCTAAGAAGCAATAAAGAGCTCGCTATTTTTAATCGAAGTCCGTTGCTAGGGCCTGCTGCACCACACAGAACTTCAACCGGATGGGCTTTGGAAAAGGTGCAGAATGCGATAACGTTGTAACAATGCACCTGTATTTGTGAGTGACAGCGTCAAACATGGGAAAACGTAACGCCACTGCGCCAAGTTGCAGGCCGAGGTGGTGCCATGGGCGGGAACAGTTTCTTTGAGGCAGGGCAATACAACACCGGGTGCTCAAAAGTTTTGACTAGTAGGTATCGACACATACTATAAGTATACCAGAGTCGGGATTAACACCAGATTTAGGATGCTGTACTAAAAGTTGGCAGTGCTGTGCTAGTGGCATCTTTGGTTTGTTTGTGGCGATTAAGTGTAATCGCATTTCTCAGTCGCAAAGCACTTGAATTGTGGTGCGGTACTGGGGATGGTGGTTGGAGGATCAGATTGTGTTCAAGTAATTTCAGATGCCTCCGGGCTAATCAGATGTATGTTGTTTTTTGTCGAGTCACATTATGTCTCAGTTTACATATAATGACTCATTTGAACATTCTGCAGCAAAACTGATAATGTAATGATTCAGTTACTGCACAACTTGCCAGTTATGAATGTTGTGGCCTAGGCTACCGGCTGTTGAATGCTTGTGGAATGCTGCATGCGAAGTGATTGGCCAAGGCGTGCTCAGGTGTATTGATGTTGGAGCTAAGGGTCCTGTCATTTTTTAATACATGAATATTGAGATTGTTGTCTGATTGGCATTTGAATATTCCACATAAGCTTTGATAGCCTTTGTCCACAGTGCTGTTACCACCCATGAAATAGGCCAACCAGTAATTATGTCAGTTCAGCACAGCTGTGTAATTGCATTAGATGTGTTTATTGAGACATGAAAGGTACTATAATGTAATGGAAATGTTTGGTATGATGCAATGTTGTGGACCTTCCTGATATAACATTTCACCAAAGGAGTTATCTGCCTGCACTGTCTAGAAAAGGTCATCTTATGTCGAAAATTGGCTGAGTTTTCCGGCATAATTCAACTTACGTGAAATTATTAGTTACGTTTTTCCAGATCGGAAGAATCAATGTGCGTGGCATATTGGTGGGCTGTGCTTAGGGCGGCCCTACCTCACCTCCACCTAATGTGTGTTTTTCATTGTGTCTGGACACCTCATTTTGATTTAGGGCTATTTAAAGTTGTAGTTTTGTGTCTTTCCTTCAAAAGTCCAGCCAATGTCATCAAATAATGTCCAAAGCAGGTCATCATGATGTGATAGTCACTTTTACCTTAGTCTGTTTTGTAATATTCTAGCAACAATATGAGAAGGGCAAGCCAACATTTGCTAGTGCATTTCAACATTGTTGGAGGAGGCCACCATCACAAAATGCAATCGCTCCATGCAACTGCATGCAGCATAAACCTGGCATTGAACAATAACCTGCGCTTGGTAAATGTATCCAATGTAAGCAGCAAATGTTGTGGTTAATGTATTTAATGGGTGCATTGGTTTGTGTTGTACCTGAAATGTATAGTTAGTCAGCAAAATAAATCATCTTTGTGATTTATGCTAAGTCTCATGCTGAAATAATTAGATCACGTAGGATGCAGGGCTATCTAATTAATTTCACCATTATAGAATGTCTGCTTATGCAAGGGAAGTTTTCAGATTTGTGACATTTATAGAAACTTATGTTTTGTGTCAAATATTGCAATATTCTGAATCCTAGTTGTAGCCCTATCCTCAGCAATGTATCTGTTACACAGCATCATTGCATATTTTATATCAACACAATTTCCTCGTACCAATATGAGCAAATGGTGAGTACAAGGTGGTACATAAATATTATATCAATGCAACATGATGCATTTATATAAAAATGTGCATAACTGGGGCATGGTTTGGGACAATGTAAGGTCCATTGATAGCTTGTATTGCCTTGAGCCAAGGCTGCATATGTTTCAGATACTGATGCATCTTTTAAATCTGTCTAAGCTGCCCATTTCACTTCAGCTGCTTAGATGTACCTTTCCTGCTCTGAGGTTAATGGATGAAAGTTAAAGTTATAAATTACAAGGCTTGATGAGGAACAGAAAAATATGACATATTGAAGTTCCAAATATTTATTTCGCAGGTTTTGTGATGTGAAAGCAAGATTTTTCAGGTTATGTATTCAGTGGAGCCAGT